CTAAAACACTATTAAATTCAAGTCCTCGAAAAATGTGACTATGCAACAACTAAAACACTATTCAATTCAAGATCTCGAAAATTGATTATGCAACAGTTAAAAAAGTTGAAATAAAACACAAAACGGTATGAGCAATTTTTTGTTTAATTCTGTAAAATAGTTGTTGAAGATGTATTATACATACGCATATATGTATGTATGTAAATGGAATAAACTGTTGTCATAGTAACGCATGTATTTAATATATTTCACTTTATTAATTTCAAATTAGGGAAGAATCAGTACTATAATGCTCGTTAACCAAAAAAGTAAAATATTTAGCATAATTATTTTACTAAAAAATATATAACAAATAAATAAACGTCAATTTAGAAAAAATTAACATTTAGAAAAACTAGAACATATGAAAACCAAAAAGTTTAAAGTATGTTATATTTGTATTTCCTTCATTTGCTGCCCCCCGGTGGCTCAACGGTAAGCCTCAAGGCTTATATCGCGAACATTTAGATTTCGATACCCGTGGTGGGTACAGCACGGATAGCCAAGTTTTGAACAGTAACAGGTAAAACTCGTGTAAGTTTAATGTTTTATTGATCAAACAACAATAGAAAAAATGAATTCGATTAACCCTGTTTTTTTTGTGTTGTTGTTTTCTCAGTAAGGAGGTCTTTATAAAATTAGTTATAACTTTCTGTGGCTGAGTTCTAGACGAGTATAATCTTTTCCAACACTGAATAATATTTTGCATTAAATTAACACTAGTATGCTTCGGTGTTTGAGGACTTTGTGTTTCTTTTATTAGCAGTCCATCAGTTCTGAATTTGTTGTGTTGGCCGTATAACATAACACAATTTGTGACATATGTATATATAATTTCAAAAAATATTTCATCATAAGGAAGAACAGCGTGAATTTTATGCACCATATCCAAACCTTAGATGAAAAAATAATTAATACCCCCAACGCAATACATCCGCCAGTACCTCAATAAACCAAGGTGCATTGCCTCACTACCCATCTTATGGTGTGTGACAGGTGATACATGTCTGCTTTCTAGCTGCGTTGTTTCTTTTTTTCTCGTGTTCTACGTAATATTACAGTTAACACACACACACGCAGTTTTTGCTTTACTTTTCCATTAAATGAAGTATTTTAAGATTGCACCAAGATCATTTTATATTAATTTAAACGTATAAGTTTAAACATGACTACAGCCACTTCGTGGCTTAGTGGCTTCGCGCTTTCGACTCGTAATCAGATGGTTGCGAGTTCGATGCTGTCCTCGTCATGCTGTTGTTCTCTTGAGGAATGGGTCACCATTTTCACCCGCTTGAGTCATTGGAACCGGAGTTCGAAAGTCACGGAAATGATTTAGCTAACAACCACCTTTTAATTACAGGGAAATGTTAATTCAGTAACAGATTTATTTGTTCATAGACTCAGTAGGAATATATCATTAATGGCACAGAGAGGTTATTCAGATAGTGTTATTTCTTCAGATTTTTCGGTAGTGGGATGTGGTACTGCGCGTATTGGAACTGGAACGTTTGAGGTCGTCAGAGAAACATCGTTTTTACGTCTTTGATTTTTTCTTAGGAGATTTATTGACATGTGACTGTGGAAGGCTTAAAACAGGAGGAACACTTTTTTTTAAAAAAATTTACAAACAGTTTTTTATTTGTTGAGTTACTTCACTCAGTAGTTCCTTATCGTTGTTGTTTGACACCAGTGTGTTTCAGGTTATCTGTTATCGAGCTCCTGAAGCACACCAGTATTTCGGGTTATCAAGCCCCTGAAGCACATTTCCTTCTTAGATACGGATATACTCAATTTGTGTCCACAAATTTTGTCCATGCCAGGATTGCACATATTTTTAAAATTTACAAGTTTATCAGCATCTTCATTCACAACTGATTCATTGTTTATAATATTTGTTGAAGCCAGCTTGAGTGTACCTACAAATTATTGGACTTAACCTTATACTTAACACATTCATATGTGTTACAGTGAATATCCGCCCTACAGGCAGAACATTACAAACGATAGACTTTTGAAACACAGGAAACGAATTGCTTCTACAACTTGATATTCCATCGATGATGAACACCATTCAGATTTGGCTCAACATAATGTCCCATCATGTTCTTGTTCACCCATGTTCGTACTGAAACGTAACCATACGGAACGTTAGCCCTTGCCAGTTTCAAGCTTGTGCGTTAATAAGAATATCCGTGCGGCTTTAATCTTTCTATTCAGTAACACAGGCCTGCGAATTTAAACTTCATAAAAGTTGTTTTGGTTTTAATAACGGATTTTTCATAATTCAGCAACGCAGACTTCGAAAATAATATTCATTTTTTTCTATCATGTAAGGATTTTTTACAAATCGGGAAGAAAAAGAAACTCTTACTTAGATCAAACTTACCACAAATATAACAGAATATGTTTGGGTCATTTACATAACCTCTTGTTGCCATAGTGACGAATAAATAATAATGAAAAGAAAAAAATAATGTCAAAGTGCACGTACAAACAAATACTATCCAGAAATGACACGTCATGTGGCCTGTTAACCGTTTATATACTAGCGGTGTGTTTCTTGTGGGTCCTGGAACAATCGATAATACTCTCACGTTGCGATTGGTGTAGAAAAATCTATAGCCATTGGTTGTCAACATTTTAAGCATAACAAAATGTGACCCTATTTGAATGAAAATGATTCACTTATGTAAAAGTGCATATGATGTTTTGTGAAAAATCTGTACGTGATGGAGAAAAATTGATATCATTTTCGGATTCGGCGTACAGGAATTACTGTAGAACATGTAAAAATTTCAAGACAATAAAACCATCGCAGGCCTGTGTTATTAATGCTTAAACATGAAAAGAAAAGCTTCAACATACGTGTTTATGTTGACTCCTTTCGGTAAGTAACAATAGGTCGATTTAGACATTATAGTTACCAAGAAAATATAATTTAAACTACTCCAAATTCCTGGAAACAATCAGCTTACTTAAAAATGCTACCGATGCTGACATTGACATAATGGTCTTTAGAGTAAGATGTTCTTTCAGTTTTGATGTGTTCCTCTGGAGTGTACGTTTTTACACCCTGATTACATGACAAATTATGTTTTGGAGAAGAAAAAATAGATCTAGGCAATGAACTGGGTGTTATTTTTTATCTTCAGAGAAAATATTAACATGATCGATTGAAGAAGATATGACCCATCCAACTCCACCCCCATTCGCAACATCTACTACAGCTGTTAACTGAAAATCGTAGTCATTTGTGAAGAAGATATGACCCAACCAACTCCACCCCCCATTCGCAACATCTACTACAACTGTTAACTGAAAATCGTTGTCATTTGTGAAAAAGATATGACCCAACCAACTCCACCCCCATTCGCAACATCTACTACAGCCGTTAACTGAAAATCGTAGTCATTTGTGAAGAACATATGACCCAACCAACTCGGCTCCATTCGCAACATCTACTACAACTGTTAACTGAAAATCGTAGTCATCTGTGAAGAAGATATGACCCAACCAACTCGGCTCCATTCGCAACATCTACTACAACTGTTAACTGAAAATCGTAGTCATTTGTGAAGAAGATATGACCCAACTAACTCCACCTCCATTCGCAACATCTACTACAACTATTAACTGAAAATCGTAGTCATTCGTTCCATTCCATAGTTGAGCCTTTACGTATAACAATATTTCGAAGTAATTCAAGTGTGTGGCATTTCCATTCATTTTGATATACAAGAATAAAATGATTGTCATTTAACATAATAACACTGTTTTTCAAGTGCTATTGTATTGTTATGCCCTTAGCTTTTATGGCACATAATTAGTAAATTTTCATCTTTTTTGGAGGACAATATCTGAGTTATACAAATATTCTTAATGTCGTTTATTGTAGATGTCCCCCAAATAACCACTGATATTTGACATATCTTTCATGGTGACTAGCTGGGATTTTCTGGCTGATATAGATACTATGATATCATTTAAAATGCGTTCTTTGTTAATATCTGCTGCCATTTTCTGTGCTAGGGATTTTGGTGGTTTGTTTCCTGTGGTACTGGCAGATGGCAAAGTTCAAGCTTACGTGTGTGTGACTTTTATAACTTGTCATTCATTCTCACTAAACATGAAAGTCCGGCATGGCCAGGTGGTTAGGGCACTCGACTCGCAATCTGCAGCTACGAATCGCCGTCACACCAAAACATGCTCACCCGGTCTCCGGACTAGGACGCTAGTCCTACTCCCGGATACTCACACCTCGAAATTCTTTTGGAGGTGTGAGAAACACCATACGAAACTACGACTAAACATGAAAGTCGTACATATTTAATTTCATATAATCCCAGGTTTTGCCGTTACGTAAACACCCGTTCTGTCAGTCACGCGTTTGCCACTGCGATTACACTAGTAATATTTTGTAAGAATGTGCAATAAATAAGTTTCACCTACATACTGATTGTACCATTCCATAAGATATAAAACTAATATCATTATGATTAATAGACTTCGCTATGTTATTTTGTTTTGTTCCTTATTAAGAATTACTGCCGTAGTGTAATCATAAGATCACATATTTGCAAGGAGTATTATATCAAAATTTACATATACCACTTTTAAGTACAGTAATTTTAAATATAATTTAATGACTCGAATTAATTAAATAATTGGGATGAGCTATTGTACAACAAAGACGAACAAAAAATTATATATATATATATATATATGTAATAGGCTTTAGGTCAAATAAAAAATAACAATCTACCCGAAAAACAACATAGGAATGGATAAGTCAATAAAAACCTTAAACTGTGTTAAACTGTTGATAGTTTGAATGTTTGATCACGCTCAC